AGGCTCCTTCGTATAAAAACATCCGCGTATTTGGATGCTTGGCTTATGTTCATAATAAAAAACAAGGAAGAGATAAATTTGCTAGTCGAAGTAGGAAATGCGTGTTTATTAGATATCCTTTCGGCAGGAAAGGATGGAGCATGTATGATTTGGCTACAGGTGAGCTCTTTGCCTCGAGAGATGTTGTGTTTGTGGAGCATGAGTTTCCTTACAAGAAAGAAGACAATATTGAACACGACAAGACCTACAACAATGCCTTTGATGAACGCGTAGCCGACGAAGACATACCTCTTTATTATCATGTAAATGATGAACAATGCACAGAGAAATCTATTGGTCATGCACAAGATCAAGAAGCGATTGTAGATGAGAATGGTGCAAATGAAATTGTTGATAGCCAGCAAACTGAAGTATTACTAGGCCGTGGTCACCGGCAACGACAAGAGTCAGTCTTGCTGCGAGATTATGTCTTACACACAGTGCAACGATTGAGCCCCTCTGCAAACTCACACGCCCATCAACATTCCTCAGGTAGTCCTTATCCCATAGCACATTATGTGAACTGTGATAAATTTTCTGTGCAACATCGTGCTTTCTTGGTAGCCATTACTGCAGGTGTTGAGCCTAGCTCTTTTGCTGAAGCTTTAAAAGATGAGAAATGGAAAAAAGCAATGCAAAAAGAGATACACGCACTAGAGGATAATGGAACGTGGATTTTAAAACCATTACCGCCAGGAAAACGAGCCATAGGTTGTAAATGGGTGTACAGGATCAAATATAATGCGGATGGGACCATTGAACGCTACAAGGCTCGATTGGTAATCCTAGGCAATAAGCAAGTTGAAGGAATTGACTACAATGAAACTTTTGTGCTAGTGGCAAAAATGGTTACAGTCCGTACTTTTCTGGCTGTGGCAGCGGCTAAAAATTGGGAACTTCATCAAATGGATATGCATAATGCATTCTTGCACGGAGACTTGAAGGAAGAGGTATACATGCGTTTGCCTCTGGGTTTTCATTCTAACAAATCAGGGATGGTACGTCATCTGAAGAAATCTTTGTATGGATTACGACAAGCTCCTCGATGTTGGTTTGCAAAATTGGTTGTTGCTTTGAAACATTATGGTTTCAGGCAATCGTACTCTGATTACTCTCTCTTCATTTTGTGACGAGGCACGGTACAAATTAATGTTCTTCTATATGTTGATGATCTTATTGTGTCAGGAAATGATCATGCAGCCATTCAAAAATTCAAGGAGTATTTGAGTTGTTGCTTTCATATGAAGGATTTGGGGGTGTTGAAATACTTCCTCGGCATTGAAGTTGCTCACAGTCCTGAAGGAATTTATTTGTGTCAACGTAAATATGCATTGGATATTATCTCTGAGGTAGGTCTGCTCGGAGCTAAACCTGCCACCTTCCCACTCGAACAGAATCATAAATTGGCTTTGGCAGATGGTGATATTTTAAATGATCCAGAAAGTTATCGCCGTTTGGTAGGTCGCCTTACTTATCTCTCTGTTACGCGACCTGAGTTATCCTACTGCGTGCATGTGTTGGCCCAGTTTATGCACTAGCCATGACAAGAGCATTGGGAGGCTGCTTTGTGTGTTGTTCGCTACCTGAAAGGAAATCCTGGACAAGGAATTATGCTGACGTCTGACAGTGACTTGCATCTTTATGCTTGGTGTGATTCGGATTAGGCGGGTTGTCCTTTAACTCGTCGATCTTTGACTGGTTGGTATATTCATCTTGGGAGCTCGCCGATTTCTTGGAAGACCAAAAAGCAACATATCGTATCTCGCTCATCTGCTGAGGCAGAATATCGATCTTTGGTTATGACTACTTGCGAACTGAAGTGGTTGAAAGGACTTCTTTTGACTCTTGGGGTAGACCATCCCAGTCCGATAAAGCTGTATTGTGACAGCCAGGCAGCCTTACATATTGTTGCAAACCCAGTGTTTCATGAGTGAACAAAACATATCAAGATCGATTGTCATTTTGTTCTTAATGCTATTTACAATGGTACCATTCGACCAACTTATGTCTCGACAAGTTCCCAACTCGCTGATATCTTTAATAAGGCATTAGGTGGACGTCAATTTGAGTTTATTCTTCGCAAGTTGGGCATTCAAAATTTGCATGCTCCAACTTGAGGGGGGGTATTGGAATGTGATCTGTATATTGTCTTTATATAGCAAGTGAATATTAGTTTCCTGATTTAGGTTGACGTTTTTTCCTTCTTTGGTTGATTTGTTTCTTGATTATAGGGATGTAATACTGTTATTTATTGAAAGGTTTCGGTAAATAAAGAACAAGAAAGCAAAAACTTCATTCTGAAAATATTGTTTTTACAGAATTCATTTCATAAAGGATAAAATTTCCAGATTTCTCCAGAATAGCACTTGTATTACTAGCTCCTCGAACTGGGCTTATTACAATAGGATTTCCACTCTTATGTAAGATTTGCAAATTTCCATTTGTGCTGTTTACTGTAAGACTTCCGGATTTATCCAAGATTGGAGTGTTCCTGTTGGCAACCCACACTGGCTGAATCCTATTGTTGAGTGCACACCGAGAACTGAAGTAGTCTTTGTAGCAATCTTGACCACCATAGTGTTGTTGGCCCTCCCAATCCTGAGGCCTATAATACCATATTCCTAAATAACGGTTTGTCGTGCCCTTAGGACTAAAAAATCCCAACCTGAAGTTACCAAAAGCGGAAACCAGCTGATCCCCATCTTTGAGCAGTTGGCTTTGAAGTAATTTGTTTGTTTGGGAATAAGAAACTCCAAACAGAAGTATAAGGCATGAAAAGCTCAAAAGGATGCGATTTGTTCCTTTTCCAGCCATATTGTGAACATGAAGAAATGAGCCTTAGTACAAGCTATATGAATTGTTTGAAGTTAATTTAATTAAATAGTATAAGTACAGTGCAAATCAAGACTATTGACTTGAGGTGTTGATATTGTCAAATTAGGAGGACATGTGTAACTTGTGAATATTCTAAACTGCCTTCTATTAAATCAGTCCTACGCGACAATTATTAGTGCCCCACAATCCTGAACCTCCCAATGTATATTTATTTTATGGATTCAGATAAATTTGTAAAAGGGTCCGAAGTTTAATTACAAGTAGTAGTTAGTTTGATGATACTTTTCAAGATACATAATGAAGCCTACGAGTATATGCAGTGAAAATTGACTTCATTAGTCTTAGATCTTTCACTGAAACTTCATATGTTCAAATCTGAAAAAGACTTCATAATGAAGTCGTGTGATTCGTGTCCTTAACGTTAGTCCAACTAGTCGTGCTTTCCAGGTTCAGCCTAGCTCCTTCCTGTAACCTTTATGCTCGAAAGTACGTACTAATATATAACAGAATTTAGGTGACATCAAAAAGAATATTATTTTTCGTTGTTTTTACTATTTTCTAGGCTTCCCTAAATTACTTTACTGAATAAGGATCATGCTTTGGTTTTTTATAAATCCAATTGATTGATCAAGTTTCAATAATAAAATCTCCCAACTCCTTCCTGTCCTCTAACCATCCTGCTGAAAAGGAGGTTATTGGTCATTATGAGAACCAACAGAATTATGTAATGCAGAAATGAGTCGCACTACTAGCTCCCTTGGGACGTTGTTGGCTAAATTATTTTGGTTTTCAAGTTCATGCAATATAATTCTAGCAAAAAATTTAATAATTTTTCATCATGTTAATTATAAATAATTAAAGAAGACTAAAAAAATTCACATGACATAAGGATATTACATATTTCAGATTATTGTATCTAGTCAGTTCTGGTGATTTTGGTCTATTATTTCCACCAATTGGTTTCATGGAAAGTTCACAAGTCTTGTATCAACATTTTAAGATTCTAAGTCGTGTGATTCGTGTCCTTAACTTTAGTCCAACTAGTTAACCATAGATATGTTTTGGAATTGGGATTGATGAATCTTCTTTGACACAATCAAGTAGGTGATATGTTTTGGAATTGGAATTGGGTTTGTCAGTCATGTTTTCCACGTTTTAATGCTTAAACAGAAAGAAGGTGACATGTTTTCCACGTATTATATTAATGCTTAACAGAAAGTAGGCGACATGCTTTCCACGTATTAACGCTTAACAGACAGTAGGTGACATAAAAAAGAACTTTGTTTTTAATAATAAATACTATTAATCTGATAAACAAATTTCTCCGTGGTAAAGTACTTAGAAAATGAATTTTGGTGTTTCGTTTCTTTTTGTTTAGAAACAGAGCAAGCTTTCGGAGATGATCATTCTAATATTGAACCCTTCTGTTAAAACTTACATACTGTAAACGGACATGTTTATATTTAATAACAGCTTTGCCAGATTAATGTGGAATCTGTCACAACATTGGCAACAATAACTTAGCCTTAGTTTTTTTTCCTCTGTTTATTAAATATATTCATTTATCTAATTCAATCTTCATACTAATAACCAAACACCCTAAATTCAACTCAAATTCAGAATATTTAGCTTAAAAATAGTGAAAAGGAACAAGAATTAGCACCATGGACAGTTATTCTAAGCCATGAGTTGAAACAAAGCATCTTATGTTATCTGGGAAAAAATAGATTCATTTGAAGGGTAACTGAACTGTGCTTTGTTTTCGTTACATGCATGTAGTAATAATCATGGCACCAAATAAATGGCCAAAAAAATCCTAGAAATCATCAATCCTGGATTATGCAAAAATAATAATAAATATTTCAATGTAATGATGCAGGGACCTACATTTCTAAGCTTTAGCTTCACTTCCGAGAGGGAACAAAAATTGCTCCACAAATCTACTAGAGAGTTATTCTAAACAGAAATCTTGCCTAAACCCGTGACCTAAATATATATAGAGGAGCATTATTCATAAAACCGAATATATGTGGCAAATAACATTTCCACAAATTATCAATTATATGTATGCATGTCTGTGCTTGTATGACAAAACTGATGACGGGATAATCATATCAGTAGAATATTTATCTAGCCTCCATCTCGGAAATTGTTACATTATTAGTTGAACAATTTTCTGAGTTAATTTCAGCTATTATTGGCACTTCAGTAGTATCATTGATATAAAATGCTGGTTGTTTTGGTGCAGGCAGGAGTAAAGATTCATTCGTAAGCATGGAAGCAACATCAGACATTGTGGGTCTATCTGTTGCTTGGTCTTGCACACACAAGAGACCTACATGAATGCATCTTAGTACTTCATTAGGAGAACTTGATCCATCCTCAAGTCCTGATCTATGAGCTCTAAGCCTTTTTCTTCATTCCACAGCAGCCATGCCTGGAAGATGTGATAAAGGATAGATTCCATATAATATCCCTCAAAGAATTTCAATAAAGGGCCATTGACCTCTACAATATGAAAATAAAATTTGACTGACTATATATACTTACATATCCTACGAGATTGAGTGGACGTTCAGTATGATAGCAACCATTGTTCTTCTTGCCACTTACAATTTCCAGTACTAAGACTCCAAAGCTGAAAACATCAGTTTTGATTGAGACAACACCATTCATGACATACTCTGGAGACATATAGCCACTGAAGAATAAATGAATAATTCTTTTAGGGTTTGAAAATGAAAATGTTTTTATGTGAAAATGGACAAAGCAACAGCATATATATGTTTGATTGTAAATGTAACAAGTACTTACTATGTTCCAACAACTCTATTCGTGTTTGCTTCCTGTTCATCAAATCTAAAAATTTTAGCCATTCCAAAATCAGATATTTTTGGATTCATCTGGTTATCGAGCAAAATGTTGTCTTTTAAGTCTCTGTGAATCACTCTTAATCTTGAATATTTGTGAAGGTAAAAAAGTCTTTGAGCAATCCCTTCAATTATGTTTGAGCAATCCCTTCAATTATGTTGAAGCGCTTCTTCCAATTTAATAGAATCTTTCTATCAGAATTTGTCCAAGCACATTTAGATAAAAAAAGAAATATGAATAACTGATAAAAGTGATAGAATTGTTGTTGTAAGAACCTCGGTTGTAAGAGTTGAAGTCTTACGAAAAATGAAGAAATCCAAGCTTTTGTTAGGCAAGTATTCATAGACTAAAATTCTTTCTTCTCCATGGAGTGAGCATCCTAAAAGCCTAACAAGATTATTGTGCTGGAGTTTTGCAATGAGTCTAGCTTCATTCTTGAATCCCAGTATTCCTTGTCCCGATCTTCTTGAGAGTCTCTTTATTGCTATTTCTTTCCCATCTAGCAATTGGCCCTGAAATCTCCATACTCATTAATATTTACTAATTGTACACTTACGATTATTAAAATTTACACAATTTTACCTTAAAAACTAGATCAAAACCACCCTCTCCTAGCTTATTTGCAGTTGAGAAGTTGTTTGTAGCAGCAACAATGGTTTGAAAATCAAATAACTTCAGCTCGTGCTTCACATTCTGATCTGTTTCTTGTGTTCTACCGACACCAGATGTTTGGGGAAGAGATACATCATCTCCAAGTTCGCGTAATAACTTCCTTCGTTTCCTTATGCGTTCCACTAATTAAGATAAATGGAAAGTATGGTTCAGAATATGGTTACTGGTTGATATTTAACTATAACAATTGTGCCATTTGATTACCTTTAGCCTTGGTATTTCTCCATATCAAATAGCATAAGTAGCACAGTAGAGGTAACACTAAAGAAAATGCTATCACAATGATTAAAAACTTCCACCCCTTTAGCTCTGCATACAAGGAAAAAGAAAAATTATAATCTTCTTGTCCATGCAATCGATGTTGACTACCGCTGATATTTTAGAAGGAATTCAGGATTTGTGAGTAAAACATTAAGATAAAGGTATGAAAGTTGTTTCAGGCATGACTTGATTGAATGAAATTCCAATCAGCTTATTCCCTCCTCATCATATGAAGCACTCTTGGAAATGCAGAGTACCGTGAGGCTTGCTACCATATTTTATAAAATTTATCGTCTTTAAACACTCATTTAAAAACATAAAACATATTTATTACTGATTTATCTTAAATGCAAAAATTGATCACGAGGATTTTAAATTCTTGAAAAGTTAAATTTGCAATGCTTATTGTTAGAATATGGAAGAAATAAAGGAATTCAAAGAGGTTTGATTTACGGCAGGATGTGAATATAAGAAACACAGAAAGAGTGGACTAAAGTTGACCAATATTCAATGGAACATTAGTGGGCTAAGCGAACTGCATTCGGTTACTGTTCAGTTAGCCTAGCTAACTGTATTCTGTTATAATCCAGCCCAATACAGTTGATGCAAGTTGGGCTTTCAGTTGTAAAAACACCAAGTTGTATATAGACTGCCGAACAGTACCTTTGTAAACTAACAAAAAGATATACAATACAAAGATCTTCCCTTTTTCTCTTATTTTCGTTTTCTGTTTACTGTCTTTACTCATTTGGTATCAGAGCCATTGACAAACATCACTAATGGCTGATTCCTCTTCAAATCCTTCCTCATTCAACAATTCGAACAAAATCCCAGACACTGTTAATCTCATCAACCCATCTTCAATGTATTCGCCCACACTTCCAACAATTTCACCAAAACTGAATCGGGACAATCATCGATTTGGGAAGTCCCAGATACTGTTCGCAGTAGGAGCACATGATCTTGAAAAACACTTGACTGGATTAATTCCATGCCCAGCTCCATTTATCAGAGCTCAATCGGATTCTTCAAACTTAGAGGTAACCAAGAAATCTAACCCTGAATATATACTTTGGAAGAAGACTGATAAAATGTTAGTTAGTTGGCTACTCTCATCCATATCAGAGTCAATGTTTGATGTCATTTCCAAGTGTCAATTTGCCACTGATATATGGCTCACATTAGAGAAAGAGTTCCTCACTGAATCTAGGGCTAAGACATTACATGTTAAGAGTCTTTTACAAAATACCAGAAAGGAGAATATGAGCATGCATGACTACTTTCTTAAGATGAAAAGTTTTGCAGAAAATTTGTCTTCTAGCGGAATAGTGATAACAGATGAAGAGTTGCTTAATTACATTCTTGATGGTTTAGAGTATGAATATGATGCAGCTGTTGTGAATATCACAACTAGGTTAGAATCTAAGCTTGATCCTATATCTGTCCAAGAAGCACAAATAATTTTACAGAAACTGGAACTTAGGCTTGAAAGGGCAAACACAGTAATGAACTCTGTAGTTTACGGTGAGTTCCATGGAGGTATTGCTAATGTTGCTGCTCTCTCAGTTGAGAATGAGAACTAGAAAACACAGCCTGTGTCATTACCTATGCAATAGAACCCCACTCAAAGTCCTCCTAATCCCTTTAATGTTCCTAATTTTAGTTCTACCTTCTTTGGACCAAACCAAAACCAGGCTAATTATCCCCTGCCTCAAAATCAATTATATAGTCAGCAGTTTCATCGAGGTAATTTTGGGAACAGAGGAAGAGGCATAGGGGGTGGGAGAGGTAAATTCATCTGCCAAGTTTGTGGAAAAACAGGGCATTTAGCCTTGAATTGTTACCACTGGTTTGATGTGAACTTTACAGGACATAACACCTCAATTAGAAGCAATTTTCACTCTCCTAGTTTCACCAGACAACATTCATTCAACTCTGAAATTGGAAGTCCTGGAATTGGAAATTCTAGAGCTGGAAGTTCCTACTATCCAGTGGGCACTCATGGTGGTCATCAGTATGTGCATAATCATCACTTAGAAGCTTCAGGAATGTCTCCAACACCTGGATCCATAGTTGGACATGTTGATGGTCAACCAAACTCAGCCACTGCCCATACTGCTGCTCATCTGCACAATCAAGCTTTGATGGCTCAAACACAGCTTCACAACTCTCATCCTGTAGCCATAAACTACATTGCAACACCTTCCACAGTACATGATGCTGCATGGTACATGGACTTAGGAGCTACAGATCATGTCACTTCTGATTTCTCCCAACTCACAGGAAGCACCAGCTATGAAGGCAGTGAACAACTTCAGGTTGGCAATGGTGAGCTTCTTTCTATCTCTCATATTGGTTATGCTGATTTAAACTGTCCATTTAGAACTCTGCATCTTAGGAATGTCTTGTGTGTCCCACACATTACAAAAAACCTTCTTAGTGTTTCTAAATTAACTAAAGATAATCCTGTCACTGTTGAGTTTTTTCTTGATTCTTGTGTGCTTAAGGACTAGTACTCCAAAGTAATCATTCTCAAAGGAATGCTTAAAGATGGATTATGCAAACTTCAAGCTCCAAGTCACTCATTGTCTACCTCTGCAGAAGAATTGGAACATTCTGTTCAACTTCAGCATAAAAGTAGTCCAGTCTTGTCAACAAATAAGTCATGTAATAAGTCTTGTAGCACCTCTTTTCCTGCAAAAATGTTGTCTACACCACTGATGTCAGAACATGCTTTCAATAATTGTAAATCTGCCTGTGTTGATTTTGTTAATCAAAACTACATGCAATACACTAGACCACTTATATCCAACACTGTAATCTGTACTGATGATGCATCTATACTCAATAATACAAACTCTCTTCAATCATTTCCTGTTCAGTCTACTAATGTCATGTTGTGGCACAACCGGTTAGGACATCCTAATTCCACCATTCTTGCAAAAGTACTTGACACCTTAAAGCTACCTCATCCTGCTAAAAATGATATAACATTCTGTTCTGCTTGCTAGTTTGGCAAGTTACACCAGTCCACATATCCTAGATCCACATATCATGCGTCTCAACCACTTGAATTAGTTTATTCAGACCTTTGGGGACCTTCCCCTATCACATCTCCCTAAGGCTATAGGTATTACATTCAATTCCTTGATGATCATAGTAGATTCACCCGAATTTTTCCTTTAAAGGTTAAATCTGAAACTTTCAACACTTTTAAACAGTTTCATGTCCTAGTTGAAAAGCAATTCAACACATCTTTAAAATGTGTTCAAACCGATTGGGGTGGTGAATATATGAAACTAGTACTTTATCTACAAGAACATGGTATTACCTTTAGACATCCATGTCCTCACACTCACCAACAAAATGGTAGAGTAGAGAGAAAACATAGACAAATTGTTGAACAAGGATTGACTTTATTAGCCCAAGCCAGCATGCCTCTTAAGCTTTGGTGGTTTGCCTTTCAAACAGCTGCCTATCTCACCAATAGACTACCCACATCAGTATTGTCCACACTATGTCAGAGAACAGGTTACATCTCACAATCTCAAAGTCCATTATGTGCCCACTGAACACCAGAAAGCAGACATCTTTACAAAGGCTCTGCCAGCCTCCAGGTTTGAAACTCTAAGACTCAAACTAACTGTACAAGCTCCACCTTCCTCTAGCTCAATCAACTCAACATCTCGTACTTAAATTGTTGGAATTCAGTGAAAGTTTTGATTATCTGAATAACTGTGTAGTCACTGCAAAATTCTGTCTTATAGCTGTAAAGTGTAGTTACAGTTTGTATTGTTAAGCTGAAGTTTGTCATGAAATTGTTTTTCTTTTAAAGCTGAAAAATTGCAGTTTGTTTGTAATTGTTTCTTTGTAAGCTGCTCAATTGTAGTTGTGTTGTGGAGTTGTTTTTTTTTGTTTGAAAATTGTTCAGTTGTAGTTGTGCTGTGGAGTTGTTTTGTTTGAAAAATGTTAAAGAAGTTGCAGATTGTTATGCCTTCATTTCATTGCACAGCTGCTAAGTTGTAACTGTGTTGTGAAGACAATGCTTGCTTGAAGAATGTTGCTGTTACATTGAAAGATAAAGTTGAAGTGTTGTAGTGGAGTATAACTGAATTGAAGATGAGCAGAAGTGCAGGATAAGTTCTCAAGATTGTAAAGTGCAGAGCTGTAGTTGCAGTTTGAAATATTGCAGATTGTGAAAGTGCAGATTGTGAAGTGCAGAGTGACATATTGTAGATTGTGAAAGTGCAGATTTTGAAGTGCTGAATGACATATTGCAGATTGTGAAAGTGCAGATTGTGAAGTGCCGAGTTGAAGTTAAAGTTTGAAATATTTGAAATTTGGAAAACTGCAGATTGTGAAAGTGTAGAGTTGTAGTTGAAGTTTGGCAGATTGCAAATTGAGACATGCAGAGTTGTAGTTAAAGTCTGGCAGATTGCAAATTGTGAAAGTGCAGATTTTAGAAGATTGCAAATTGTGAAAGTGCAGATTGCGCTAGTTAAAATGAAGTTTGAAGCAGATTGAGAAGTCAGAAGAATGAAGTTAAAGTAGCAGATAAGGAATTCAAGGAAGTTTGATTTACGGGAAGATGTTAGAATATGGAAGAAATACAGGAATTCAAAGAGGTTTGATTTACGGCAGGATGTGAATATAAGAAACACAGAAAGAGTTGACGAAAGTTGACCAATATTCAATGGAACATTAGTGGGCTAAGCTAACTGCATTCGGTTACTGTTCAGTTAGCTTAGCTAACTGTATTCTGTTATAATCCACCCCAATATAGTTGATGCAAGTTGGGCTTTCAGTTGTAAAAACACCAAGTTGTATATAGAGTGCCGAACAGTACCTTTGTAAACTAACAAAAAGATATACAATACAAAGATCTGAATTTTTCCCTAACTTTCTTCCCTTTTTATCTCATTTTCGTTATCTGTTTACTGTCTTTACTCATTCTTATTTTGATTGTTCATCAATAACTAATTAAATATATTTTGACAGATACCATACCTCTACACTCGCGATCGTATTTTAATCTCCTTCCTAGATAGCTCATGGGGTAGTACACGACTGCTATTGCAATGATTATCCATATCGACCGGGGCAACTCATTCTTTTCTGTAATGATAAAATAATTCAAATGAAAAGCATCAAGCTTTTGTCATAAGAGTTTATAGCAAAATTTCTAATAAATATATTTGAGGTGGTTCTTCAGTTTGGGATTCAAATCCTTTTTTTTTTTTTTCTCTAAACAAGCAAACAATCCTGAGTGTGGGGTAAAAGGATGCATCAAATATGAATGGGGGAGTGTGATAAAAAATTCAACTTAAATGTCTAATCAAATCTACCTCTGGGTACTCCATCAATTTCCGGTTTAATTCTTTGGATTTCCGGCGGTTCGACGTTCATGGTGAATATTTGATGAGAATAATAGTTGTCGTCAGACTCCGTGAAGTTTGTCCCTGTGCCCCAGATCTCACAGCCAGTATCATTAGCAAAGGCAACACAAGAACAATTATTGAAGCATTTGGCAAAGCAATCAAACGAGGTCATGTTGTCACTTTCTTCGAACTTGAAACCCACACTCGACATGAAACCATATTTGACCGTGAAACTAAAAACACTTGACCTGCACGAGGGAACCTTCCCATCCCAACACGAATCATCGCGCATAAAATCGTCACATGGTGAAACAATTATGTCGTTGTCATCTCTAAGTGTATCGTCATATTTTATCTTGATCATTGAATTTTCAACTACATCAGCAAAATTGAAAAAAAATTCTAGTTCATTTGAAGTATAACTAAAATTGAATAAAAAAGGCGATGGTTCTGCAGAGTCGTTAAATTAATCATAAACATTGACCCAACGCCCACTCGTCCAGTAGACATCCCCACGCCTACTCATGATCAACTGATTTGAGACATTGGGATCCATGCTAAGGGTAAATGACCCTTGGGCAGGAGAATTCTCGGAAATCCATGACTGAAGAAACCATTTGCGCCCAGTTTGCAAGTTAACTCCTAGTTTCATTCCAGGCAGAAGTGTATCAGTGGGATAGTCAAAGCTTTGCCACAGCACTCGCCTAGTAGATCCATTCGAATTCATTTCATATAGCACAAAGTTGCCAGAGTCAAGTAGAGTAGCACTTGTATTACCAGCTACTCGAATCGAACTTGTTGCAATAATTTCGTTTCCGTTGACTAAAATCAGATTGCCATCAGTGTGGTCTATAATAAGACTTCCTTCATAAGTATCAGAGAGAGGGTTGTTCCTGTTGGCAACCCACACTGGCTGACACCTGCCAGAAGGAGTCGCGCAGGGTTCCCCTTTTGTATCTCCCTTATTGTACCATATTCCTAAGTAACGATTTTCCCAAGAACCGAAGAAACCAAGCCCGAATATCCCATTAGCTGAAACCAGATTTTCCCCATCTGAAAGCAGTTTGCCTGGCATTATACTGTCTCTCTCCGTCTGAGAATATGAAGGCTGCATCAAGAGGATGAAGCAACAAAGGCTCAAAAGGATTTGATTTCTTACTTTAATAGCCATCAATAGAATTATACAATGCAGAAATGAGTTGCAGTGCTAGCTCTCTCGGGACGTTGTTGGCTAAATGATTTTGGTTTTCAAGTTTATGCAATATTATTACCTATCACAAATACATTCACTCAATATAATTATTAAATTTAATAAAGAAGACTTAAAAAATTCACACATGACATAAAGATATTACATAATTTAGATTAATGTGTCTAGTCAATACTGGTGATTTTAGTCTATTATTTCCGCCAACTGCTTTCATGGAAAGTTCACAAGTCTTGTATCAACTTTTTGAGATTCTAAATCGTGTGATCTTTAAGATAATTAAATTAAGCGAATTGGGATTGATGTCCTTCTACACAATCAAGTAAATGCAGAAAACATGTATAAATACATTGAGATATATTTAAATAACTTGTATCTGCAAAGAATTATCTGGAAATTTTATATAAGATCCCTTGTACTTAAACATGTTGTGATATGGTCAATGCATCAATCATATATATAGTTCCCTCACCTCACAAATTTGTTAATAAACATCACTGTTTGTTATAAGAGAAAAAAGGCGTGTGAACCCCTTCGTGGAATTTTTGTCAAATGAATCAAAAGAAAGACCATGGTGTTTATATTATCATATCTTACGTTTTCCATGTATCGCTCGTCAAGTACTCAAGTCTGTCTGTTTGTCAATCATGTTTTCCACATATTAATGTTTAACAGAAAGTAAGTGACATAGAAAAGAATTTTGTTTTTTATAATAAATAATATGAATCTGATCAACAAATTTCTCCATGGGAAAGAAGTACTCAGTAAATGAATTTTAGAAAAATCCCATAAAAACTTAAAAAAAAATGGTAATGTCCGAAGGCACTCGCGGACCTGATAGTGAATACCAGACCTTTGGATAAAGTTTTTACTTCAAATTTCTTTTTTCTTTTCTCCAATCAGAGCCCCCAGTTGAGGACATTTTTCTTCCAGTATTATTAAAATTGCGCTTTCAAATTTAGACCTGCGACTGGCTAAAATTCATGTTTGTTGAATAATTTTGGTGTTTTGTTTCTTTTTGTTTAGGAACATGGCTAGCTTTCTGTGATGATCATATTGAACTCTTCTGTTAAAACTTATATACTATGAATGTAGTTTTAACTGTAGTTGATTAACTTCATATACATACTTGGAACTGTAGTTAGTTGCTTTTACTCTGTCCAAAAACAGAGCAAGCTCTCTTTATATATATATATTCATTTCTGTAATTGAATCTATATTCTAATAACCGAACACCCCTAATTCAACTCAAATCAGTTAGATCTATGTTATGGCTACCACGGCATCAAAAATTTTGTTTTTTTCACTGGGCACCATAATGTTGATTGTTGATTACCTCTTAACATATATATTTTCACCATTAAATATGTCTAATTAATTTTAAAATAAGGGGCTTACCTGAAGACTAATGGGCAGTAATCTTTCCATTTAAATTCACAGGATTGATGTGGTGGAGTGTGTTTAGTTCCCTCCGGTGGAAATTTTCTCCATACCTTTTCCTTGGGATCGAAAGCTGAGGCCTTTAAATCAAAGGATGCTGCTGGAGCAGGTCTTCCCACTGAATGCCTATCAAATCTCTTCAACATATTTATAATCCATGATAAATAAAAACATTGAAAGGCAAAACATATAGAACTATTCTGTAAAATAAATGAGAATTAATTAGAAAAGGTACGAGTACCTGATTCCAAGCTGCAAATTAAGCATAAGGTCATAATTTTTATGCCCTTTACTTATCGTATATCCTTGTCTTTTTCCAGGCCTTGGTAATCTTATTGGCTCCAAAGTATTCCTAGTATGATCATTTTGATAATTAACATACAAATCACTATCTGAAACCCTCCCGGGTAAGGCATTTTTATCATCGCCATCCCACATTTCAACTATGTCCCTTCTTGTAGTTCAGTATCAACAGCAATGATAATTGTATTACTTAACGTGTTTATCTTGCTACCAACTCTGAAATCGTTAAATCATATATGGAACAACTTTTTGAGTTATATTCAGGAACCTCTGGGGGTTCAGAATTAACATTTATAAAAAAGGCTGGTGGTTTAGGAGCAGGAAGAGACATGGTCTCATTTGTAAGCATGGAAACAACATCGGACATTGTGGGTCGACAGTTTGCCTGATCTTGTACGCACAAGAGGCCGACATGAATGCATCTGAGCACTTCATTCGGAGAACATGATTCATGTAGTGTTGGGTCTATCAGCTCTAAACCTTTACCTTCATTCCACAATTGCCATGCCTGCCGAAGTAACAATCAAAATAAAAGATTGCATAAACTAACCAATAAGTTTCAGTATTCTACAGTTTTAGTGAATACGTACATATCCTATAAGATTGAATGGGCGCTCTGTGTCGTAGCTACTATTATTTTTCTTGCTGCTGACAATTTTCTGAGACTCCAAAGCTAAATACATATGTTGCAAAATGTGATCCAAAACAGTATAAACATGCAATAACCCAGAAACATTCATCCACCCAAAACAAATACAAGAAAAACAATTAAGCTGTAATATAAAAAGAAAAGAAATAACACCAGATTTATAGTGGTTCGGTAATCTTAAAGATTACCTACATCCACTCTTCAGAGCAACCAGAAAAAGGATTTTACTATGAGTTTGAGAAACCTTACAGAACAATCGGCTCACCCTTTTACACAAGGCATTACCTCGATACAAAACCCTTTGATTTTGCACCCGTATACCCAGATGCTCTCACCACTCATACATTATCAAATAGGCAGAAATCAGTACATATTTATACAGTAAAAGAGAGACTAAACAATAAGGACAGCTCACACCTACCATCGCCGTTGATTCCATGGACGAACCTCGGATTTCCAGCACAACACCTCTAACTGATTTCTCTCTCTGTTAACCAAGAGAGAAAGGAGAGAAGTGAGCTGCGCACAAAACCTAAAACATATTAGGTCATTCGAAGATAGCAAAAGACTGAACTGCCCCTCAAGCCTTAACAATTTACATTTGACCAGCCAAACTCCAAGTTGACTTCCACGTGTGTCATCAGAATGCCACATCACAACAACATCAATTTTCGTTGAGACGATGCTGCTCATGGCTACTCTAGAGACATATAACCACTGAATAATATTTTCAACATTGCTTTTAGCTTTGGAAGGAGAAAACATTTTACATAGTCACACGTAGAAAACTATCATATGTTTTTGGTGTTCTAAAATGTAACATATATGTCCTGATGTGGCACCTGATTTGTGCCTATGTGGAGTCAAACTTCTATATGTTTGGTCAGAGGCAATTTAGAAGGAAGAAAGGGGCATAATTGGAATTTCCCACAGGATATTTGTTTGACAATCTAAATTGGTTTAGACCAAAAATCTTCTATTCTTCCTCCCCATTGTTCTCTCTTGGTTGCAGAGAGAGAAAGTTTGTTGAAGAAATTGTCAAGGTGGAGCATTGATATTCGCAGGATGAAATCGACGATGGTGGTGAGCCTAGTTGTAACTGTTTTTATTCTCTTTCTTTGTGTATAGATTGCTGATTAATGCTTTGTATTTGATATGAGAGGTGAGGCACTCTTGTGTCTGTTTCGGGTGTAATTACACTGGGGGTTTTCTTGGGAATCTATCTAGTAAACAAGATTTGCAAGCTCTAATAAGATTTTCTTTCATATAGTAAATGAATTCCTACTGCCTTGAAGAGTAGATGTAGGTGATCAACTGATTATGAACCACTATAATTGTTGTGTGTTCTTTATTTTTATCCTCTTATTATTTTTTCTTCTAAATACTGTGAATATTGCTTGATTGAGAACTTAGGACTTTTTGTTCGAATACTCTTTAAGCTTAACAATATACTTACTATGTTCTGACAACTCTGTTTGTGTTAGCTTCAGAATCATTTGTTCCAAAAAATTTAGCCATGCCAAAATCAGATATTTTTGGATTCAATTGCTCATCAAGTAAAATGTTACCAGCTTTCAAGTCCCTACGAATTACTCTTAATCTTGAATATTTATGGAGATAAATCAATCCTTGAGCATTCCTTCCAATTATATTGAAACGAATTTTCCACTTTAGTAGGTTCCTTCTATCAGTAGAATCTGTCTCAAAGCAATAGAAACAAAAGAATAAAAGGGTATTAACATATATATACACTGCAAATTCCTCAACATGTTTGAAGTGACTTACCAAAAATAAAAGAATCCGAACTCCTGTTAGGCATATACTCGTATACCAAAATTCTTTCCTCTCCATGGAGAGCACATCCTATAAGCCTCAAAAGATTAGTGTGCTGGAGTTTTGCAATGAGTTTAGCTTCATTCTTGAACTCCACTATGCCTTGTCCTGATCTTCTTGAGAGTCTCTTTATCGCTATTTCTAGTCCATCTAGCAATTGTCCCTGAAATAATGGCTCTTTGAAACTAATTATTGATAGTAATTATTTACACCTAAATTATAATTAAAGGCACACGATTTCACCTTATAAACTGGACCAAAACCACCCTCTCCAAGCTTATTTGCAGTTGAGAAATTGTCTGTGGCTGCAGCAGTTGTCGTAAAATCGAATATCTTCAACTCATGCTTCATGCTCTGATCTTTGTTTTGTGTTTTTCCTTTGTCGTGTGGTGGGAATTGACATTTTTTCTCCAATTTCTTGTAATAGTTTCTTTCGGTTCATTATGCGTTCCACTAATCAAGATACATGAAAGGTATAGTTCAGACTATGATTATTGGTTGATATTTAATTATAATATTTGATTCGAGTGATTACCTCTAGCCTTGTATTCTCTCCATATCCAATAACATAAGTAGGACAAAAGAGGTAGCACCAAACCTACTCCTACCGCAATTATGAATGACCGCCACCAATTCTCCTCTGCAGCAAAAAGAGAAAAAAAAAAAAAAAAAAAAATTAAGACTGTCGGTCTATAATTACAGCCAGCAGATCAGCAATTATCTGCAATTCAATAGAATAAGTGAGGTTTATGTGAATGCAAGTTTGCTTGCAGATAGCCTCCTTACCATGTGAGGCACTCTTGTGATTCCTTTCAGAAAATTAAGATAAAGGTAAGAAACTCTTTAGTTCTTAAGATGTCCCTTTGCCAAAATATATGAATGTAACGACTCTGTTTAAAATGCGGGTTTTGGTGATCATATTTTAAAAGGCTTCAATTACGTTAATTCTCTGAAAAATATTTATATTAGTTTGTCTAGCTAGCAAACATATCAACCGTGAAAATGCTTTTTGTTTCGATAGATTGCATACCTCTTGCCTTCAATTTTCTCCTCACCAGGTAGCTTACACAGCACAAGAAGATCACCCCTAGAGCGCTAGCTGCGGAAATGATTAACTTTCGCCACGGCTTTTTTTCTGTATTGTGTAACCCTGACAACGGCTTATTACCTGTAGTGTTTGAACCTGGCAACCGCATGTTTTCTGTTTGGTTGGTTAATGACTCCTCCACTCCTGCAATAGTAAACGAAATTAAATCGAATGAAAAGCATATTAATATTTTTGAACCTTAATATTACGAAGAAGACTTACCGTGAAGGATGTATATGCGCCCTGAACCGTCCTTGTATGTGTCAGAATATGTTAAATTCGTCCCCACCTTCCAGATCTCACAGCCGGTGTGGTTTTTCATATATATGGGGCCAAAAGCAACACAGGAACAGCTTTTTATGCATTCGGCCAGACAATCAGCGTAGTTCATTCTGTCATTTTCGTTGAACTTAGATCCTTCTTCAGATACGAAATAATATTTAATAGACTCATGGAAATTACCAATAGATGATATGCATGCTTCACGATACACATTACCAATATCATACCCATTATTTCTGATCTCTTGAATTACACCGTCTGCAGTAATTTTTAACGCGGAAGCATTTTCTGAACAACTGAAGTAGATTTCTTCTTCATTGGAAGTGTAATTAAAGTTGTATTTGAAAGTTGAAGCATCAGCTTTCGAGGAAGAGAAGTCGAAGCGTCCATTTATCTAAAGCCCAATAGTCCAATAGAATTCTCGTTCTTCTAGCCACGAGACTATCAGCTGGTTTGTGACATTGGGGTTCATGCCAAGGGTATACGACCCTGGCTCAGGAGAGTCATTGGTAATCCATGATTGTAGAAACCATGTATGCCCAGGTTTCAAATTGAATCCCAGTTTCATCCCTGGCAGAAGTGTATCGGTCGGATAATCAAAGCTTTGCCACAGCACTCGTCCTTTAGTTCCGTTTGAATTTATTTCTCGTAAGACAAAATTGCCAGAATCCAATGGAGTAGCAACTGTATTTTTTGCTCCTTGAACCGAAATTACAGCAATAGGATTTCCCCAATCCTGTAAAATTTTCAAGTTACCATCATATCTGTCTATTACAAGACCTTCGGAACTATGAATCAATGCGTCGTGGCGGTTGGCAACCCACACGGGTTTGCTTCCTTCGAAGTAATATATTCCTATGTACGTGTGTCCTGTAAACGTAGCGCTAAAGAATTATATCCTGAATTTACCGTGAACTGAAACTAGCCTCTCACTTTCTGTTAGCCGTTGGCCGACTTGTAAGTTGTTTTTATATTCTTGGGAATAAGAAGCTATCATCAAGACTAGAAAGCATGACAAGCTCAAAAGAAAGTTATTAATTTCTTTGACAGCCATTAAAGAAATTATACCACAGTACGCACGAGCTCTGGTATAATTGCCCTGGCCTTTCTTTTTCAAGTTTATAAGGCAATCGGCTGACGGCATTGGGTGTTTAGATGTGTGTAGATATCGTAAGAGTATTAAGTTTGGGACCATTTTTACGGATGGATAGAGCTCTAATTCTTCTGGGCCTTTATTTTTGTCTTTGAACTTGTCATACAGTCATAGTCTCCTCCAACATAACTTTAAGAGTAATTAAAAACATACAAAAGACTAAAAACAGTCGGTCCACACACACACACACACACACACGTGCGTATGCTATGCCTGAAAAGACAAGGCTAACGTAGAGCTTTGTCAGCATGAGGTAGCCAGAATTTGGGAAGGTTCTGTGACCGTTTAGACGCAACCACGTCATAGCGTAAGCGGCATGCAACTATCAGTGCCGTCGGTGAGTGCCAGGTCAACAGATGGTTGGAAATCATCCCTGTGTCCAAACCCTGCATAAGTCGAGGAAATCACTCGGGCAGGTGAGCAATGAGACGTAGAGAAGGATTTGCATGGTACCCACCCACTTGCAGATTTAGTAATCATTATCTTGGTTTATCCCATTATAAATAGGGGCCTTCCCTCCCGTTTGCGGGATTGGCTAATTTTACTCTAAAATAACTCTCTCTCTCTCTCTCTCTCTCTCTTAATAGTAGCTCAGCTTACGGAACGCGACCTAACGTCTACCCTCTTATTAATACAATAGCAGTGGACGTAGGACTCGCTTTTGAGCATCCGAACCACTTTAAACATTGTCTTTCACTCTTCATTTAACTAAATATTCATATATCACGTGTGACGTCTAAGTCTGCTTAGCATTTCACACGTGCAAGTAGTTGGTGTCAAAAATCAAACATCAACAGTTTGGCGCTAGAAGGAAGGCTTGATTTAGTATCTGCTCTTCATCAGAAAATCTCTGACTAATTGGTCCCGCAACAACAAATGGCTCGCGGTTTTGAATCTGAGCGAACCAATTATGACAATGAAGAGATTCCCTAGGTACAAGAGGACACTCCTCTCGAAGTGCCGCCTATCCGGCAAAATGTCATGGGGAATATTCCTTCAAGCTCGCGACTCGATCTAGTCGTCATGAGTTACTTGGAAAGGTTCAATAATACTCTCCAAACAGTCAACCAAAGGCTGGATCGATTGGATCGGGTTGTGCCATCCGAATCCAACTTGGTGGTGCCATCGCCAAAAACGTCTACAGGTCACGCGAAAGCATGGAGAAGGGCAAAAGCCCACACCGCGCACTACAGCGCGTCAAATAAAGGGAAAGCAAGTGCCGCTCAATGGACCAAAGGGCTCCAAAGGACTAGCGAACATCGATCATGTCCTGGGCAGAATACCCATGGCATTGCGGCTCGACGACATGTCGCAGCATGAGCCATCCCATGCCACATCGTGCAAGCACTCCCATAAAAATGCAAGGCGGGGAGATTCCCAATATCGCCAAAATGACGACTTCGATCTTTGTCGCCAGGGGATTCCCATCGTCTGCGGGTCAGTTCGTACCATCGCATAGGTTGGGAAGACTCCCCGAATCACTTGATGCCATCACACGACTCCAGCCAGCGTGTGTCGAGATTGGCCAAAGCTTCTGACCGAGGTGCGAAAGAGTCCGATTTGCGGTCTCTCTTTAATCGCAATCGTGAGGGTCGAACCCACGTTGCAGAAAGTGATCCCCAAATAGCGCCGTTGCCTCAGATTGAGGAGCTACAACGAGCTCTGGATCAGCTTAAAGCTCAGCTAAACGAGCAAAGGAAGGTCGTAGAGGCATCTCCCTTTTCCTCGACAGTGTTAGCTGCCCCTCTCCCATCGAGATTCAGAATGCCTGACATGCAAGCATTCGATGGGAACTTTGATCCGCAGGATCATTTGTACGAGTTCAATGACCTCATGGAACTCCAGCAAGTCTCTGACTTGGAAAAATGCTATTGCTTGGCAGTAACCTTAACTGCCTGTGCCAAGTGATGGTTTAGGTCACTCCCGGCAGGATCAGTTAGCTCATGGCCTCAAATGAGCTCAACATTTCTGAGGCACTTCTAGGCGAACAGGAAGTTCTTGATGCCGCTAAGCTACCTAAGCAATATACGGCAAGAGAGGGATGAATCCCTCCAATCTTATATAGACAAGTTCCACAAGGAGCTCCACAAAGTGGCTCATACTCTTGAATAGTCCGTTCGGACTCTTATCATTGCGAGAGTTCACCCACAGACAGACTTGTGGAAAGAACTACAATCTGAGGATGTTGTTTTCCTTACTCGCTTCTACAACCTTACTGAAAAGTATGTCTGCATTGAAAATTCTATGGCCGCTCTCAATCACCACGACCCCGATCCTGCGGACAACGCTCCTAACCGAGGGGAGAATAGGAGGGCTGATCGCAGATGGGCTAATGATGATCAGTGAAAAGGAAAGAAGTAGCAGTACGAGCCTAATAAATCCTATGCCCCAAGTCCTTGTCGCAATCATGACAGGAGTCAATACACTCCTCTGAATGCCTCGGTGTTGGCTATTCTGGTTAAATCAGAGGAGGCTGGTTTGCTCGGAGAACCTGAGCCTATGAAAAATCCCCTTTCAGCTAGAAATAATAAAAAATACTGTCGCTATCATTGGGATAATGGGAACCACACCAATGAGTGTCGGGCCCTCAAACAAGTGATTGAGGACCTCATTATGCAGGGGCACTTCAAAGAGTATGTCGATGACTCTGCCCCTGTTCAGGAGAAAAATTAAGAGGAGTTGAGGAAGAAGCATCATGGTCGCAAAGTTCTTTATTATGTGAGGATCATCTTTTGAGGGCCACACCTCGCAGGGAATTCTTGAGGTGCATAGGAAATGTATGCTTGCGTAGCCCATCATGACCCCATAAGTGTGATGAGCATGACGCCATAACCCGCCAAGGTTCGTAGGGAGGAGGAAATCACCTTGCACAAGAAGGATGTGGTGTGATTGCATCATCCCCATGAGGATGCTCTCGTCATCGAGCCTGAAATAGGTCAGTGCGAGGTCCACAGAATGTTGGTGGATAAAGGAAGCGCTGTGAACATCTTGTTTCAGCAAGCCTTTGAAAAGATGAAACTGGACGAGGCAGATCTGAAGCCTGCCTCTATTTCTCTGTATGGTTTCACTGGGGATCATTTGATTCCCAGATGGACGATCTCGCTCCAAGTCATGTTGGGAGAGACCAACGAGATGACCAAAATAACCAAGTTCTTAGTAGTAGTCCGTCCATCCGCTTTCAATGGCATCTTGGGACGACCTCTACTACGAAGCTTTAAAGCGGTTACTTTGATCTACCATCTGAAGATGAAGTTCCCTACCCTGACGAGAATAAGGGAAGTAAGTGGATCTCAATGCGTATCTCGCGACTGCTATATGAGGGTAGTATAGATGGCATGCAAGGGAAAAGGAACTCCAATTAGTATCCTTGAGTAGGTAATGGCGATCAGCAGGATCAAGCCACAACCTGGCCCAGTTGAGGATAACATGGATCCTCACATCCAGGAATGCCCTAGCAGTGGGCCAGTCGAGGACCCATCTGAGATATCGGTCGATCAAAGCGAGCCAAGCCGAGTGTTGAGAATCGGGAGTAATCTCAGCCCTTAGCTTGCCAACGACCTGGCAAGCTTCCTCAGGGAAAATATCAATGTATTCGCATGGACACATGCCGACATGGTCGGGATCAGCCCTAATATTATATGTCATGCCCTAAATATTGATAGTGCGGTCAAGTCATTTCGCCAGAAGAGAAGAGCAATAGACCCCGAGTAATATGCTACCTTGAAAGTTGAGGTAGATAATCTCCTCTTAAACGGATCCATCCGAGAGGCACTTTACCCAAGCTAGGTTGCCAACCCGGTCTTAGTAAAGAAGCCTAATGGAAAATGGTGGACTTACGGTGACTTCACCAACCTTAACAAAGCCTGTCCAAAAGACAACTTTCCCTTGCCGAGGATCGACCAGCTCGTTGATGCCACCTCCAAGCATGAGCTACTAAGTTTTATGGATGCCTACTCGAGATATAATTAAATTCTGATGCACGCACCAGATGAAGAACATGCCTTTTTTGTTACAGAACAGAAGTTGTATTGCTATAAGGTTATGCCATTTGGCTTAAAGAACGCTGGGGCGACTTACAAACGATTGGTTAACTAAATGTTTTCTGAACAGATTGAAAAATCAATGAAAGTCTATGTTACTGACATGCTGGTCAAATCACATGTCGCTTCAGATCACATAACACATCTTGTTGAGATGTTTGGTATACTCCGAAGGTATAGAATGAAGCTCAATCCTCTCAAGTGTTCATTTAGAGTATCCTCTAAAAAAATTCCTGGGATATATGGTTAACTAGAGGGGAATAGAAATTAACCTTGAAAAGATTCAAGCTCCTCGATATGAGAAGCCCAACTAACCAAAAACAGGTTCAGAGTCTCAATAAGAGAATAGTGGCTCTTAGTCGCTTCATATCAAGGGCAACAGATCACTGCTTGCCCTTTTTCAATATACTTAGGGCCAACAAAAAGTTCAAATGGACTCCGAACTGCGAACAGGCTTTCCAGAGCATTAAAGAACACCTCGGAAACCACCTCTCTTGTCCAAGTCTCTCCCTTGGGAGATTTTTCTTTTATACCTATCCGTCTCTCAGCATACGGTCAGTGCAGCCCTAACTCGGCAAGAAGACAAAGTCCAATGGCTGGTATATTATGCGAGCAAGAGACTACTGGATGCTGAGATGCGGTATCCAAAGATGGAGCGATTAGCTTATGCCCTACTGATCCCCTCCAGGAAGTTGCGGCCTTATTTCCATGCCTACACAATCCATGTATTGGCAAACATTTCGCTCAAGCAAGTCCTTTAGAAACCAAAAGCTTTGGGTAAGTTGCTCAAGTGGGCAATAAAACAAAGTCAGTTCGATATACAGTACAGACCAAAAGCAACCATTAAAGAGCAGGCTGTTGTCGATTTCATCTCGGAGTTTACATACCAACCGACCCAAGAATCCGAGCAACAAGCCAGCGAAGTCACCCAGGAAATTGTCTAAAATTTATCGATTGGAGCCTCTATGTTGACGGTTCCTCGAACAGGAGGAAGGCCGGGGTAGGCCTTCTCCTCTTTAGTCTTGAAAGGACTCGCATCCACAATATCCTTCAATTTGGATTCAAAGCCACGAACAATGAGGCCAAATACGAAGCACTGCTAATTGGACTGCGGTTGGCAAGAGAAATGGGGTCAACTGCGATCAGTATTCACAGCGACTCCATGTTGGTTGTCAATCAGATTTTGGGGGAGTATTAAGCCAAAGAAGAAAACATGATTAGTTATCTAAAGAAAGTTAAGGTCGCGCTCGAGTCTTTTAAGCACTTCACGATCACTCAGATTCCTAGAGACAGTAATTCAGCCGCGGATGCCTTGGTAAAAATAGCCTCATCACTAGACTCGGATGCACCAGAAAGTATTCCTGTTCGGTACATAGAGATCCCAAGTATCAGCTCGCTTGAACAGGCTGTGGTCATGACCGAGTCAGTTTCCTGGATGACCCCAATTATTTAGTATCTCGGAGATGGGACCTTGCCTAGCGATAAGATTGAAGCAATAACCCTACGAACCAGAGCTGCTCGTTACATACTCATAGGGGATCAGTTGTACAAGCTAGGGTTTAGTACTTCTCTCATTCGATGTGTGACCGATGAGAAAGCAGACTACATCATGAGAGAGATACATGAAGGGATCTATGGTAATCACATGGCCACACGATCCCTCGCTAGCAAGGTTGTTCGTCAAGGGTACTATTGGCCCCTACTTCAAGAAGACACCTTCAACTTTGTAAAAAAGTGTGACAAAGCGGTTTGTGAACATACCATAAGTTCCTTCCCACCAGCTGATAACCATGACCAGCCTCCGACCATTCTCCATGTGCGGGATTGACCTTATTGGACCCATGCTAGCTGGAAAGAGAGGGGTTAAGTATGTAGTGGTCGCTTATTTCACCAAGTGGGTAAAAGCTGAACCATTAGCCGCGATCACTACCAAGAAGCTCAAGGACTTCGTTTTCAAAAATATATTGTGCCGCTGCAGAATTCCTCATACCCTCATCTTTGATAATGGGAAATAGTTTAACAATAAAGAATTCAAGCAGTTTTATGATGAGCTGGAGATACATAAAAAATTCGCCTTAGTTACAAGACCGCAAGCTAATGGTCAGGTTGAAGCTATCAACAAAACCACCAAGCATACTCTAAAAGCTAAGCTTGGCGACGCCAAGGGTAATTGGGTCGATGACCTCCCAGAAGTCCTATGGGTATACAAAACAACTTCGAGAACCTCTACTTCAGAAACACCTTTCTCGCTAGCATATGGCTGCGAGGTAATGATCCCAATGGAAGTAGGGACTAGTTTACTTTGAAGAGACCTGTTTAATGAAACAGACAATGGAACACTTATGCATGCAAGTCTGGACTTAGTTGAAGAACATCGTGGAAAAGCTCAGCTAAGGATAACAGCCTATTAGC